TATCCGGCCAATGGATGTTGAGTATCTTGCGTAGACAACCATTTATAAATACTTGTACTTGTATCATAATTATTGATATGCTTATCGATGAGGGATCGATAAGCATATCAATAATTATGATATTTATTCTGAACATAAAAATGAGATATTAGTTGTCAATTAATTATTATTCTTTGATTAAAATTTGTTTACTACTAACAAATGGACATGTGATAATAATAATAACATAATGAATTATTTTTCTAATTTTTTTCTTTTTCAGAACCGTAGATAAAACAGTATTTTTTTGATAAAAAAATAAAGTTGATAGGGGTTACACTAATTAGTATCTAGATAGAAAAAAAACTAATGTTCATTAATGTCATTTGTAGCAATAAATGATCTTGTAGTTTTGTTCAATTTATTTTATAATGGATAGTTATATTAAGGAGGTAGTTGATATTTGAAAGAAGATTTTCACAGATTGAAATCATGAGTCAGTTGAAGCTAGACCACCATTGAAAACCTGGAAGCACTGGACGGCCGTTTCGTCCTAGTATGGGACTCCTCAGCAGTGCGCATCCACGATCCCGCACCACGCGGGGCTCGAACCCAGGATCTACTGGCTTCGCGCGCGAGCACTTAACCATTAGACCACTGAGCCGGCATCCAACGGTGTTAATGTCTAACTTCAACCAATCCACGAAGTTGCGCCACCATATACCATTGTCTTCAGTGAGCTGATATCTCACAACAGACCTGGTTGTACTCCACTGGTAACGGCTTCCCACTAGAACTCCAGGAGTATCTCTTGAAGTCAGTCACTAGTGAGCAGATGATTATTATCAGAAGGGGTTTGTGGAGATTTTTAGAAATTTTCACAGATTGAAATCATGAGTCAGTTGAAGCTAGACCACGATTGAAAACCTGGAAGCACTGGACGGCCGTTTCGTCCTAGTATGGGACTCGTGGATGCGCACTGCTGAGGAGTCCCATACTGGGACGAAACGGCCATCCAGTGCTTCCAGGTTTTCAATCGTGGTCTAGCTTCAACTGACTCATGATTTCAATCTGTGAAAATTTCTAAAAATCTCCACAAACCCCTTCTGATAATTTGAAAGAAGAAACAATAAATATCATTTTAGTATTTCATACTTTGTGATTTAAACTAACAAAGTTTGTTGTTGTTATTGCTAGATCATGTTAAACCATCATCGAAAATCTAGAAGCAATGCATGGCTGTTTCATCATAGTATGAGACAATTCAACAGTACATATCAACGACACCGGATGCAAGAGTCGAACTCAGGACCTTCGGTTTTGCGCGCCAACCTGAAGCTTTCTGATCACTGAGTCAGCGCCCATATGTGTGAATATCTAATTTTAAACAATCCACGACGTTTTATGACCATTTTCTATTGTCACTGGTGAATAACTACCTCACACCCTATACGGTTGAACTACACTGGTCAATGAAACTCAGAAATCTCCACAATCTAATAATGATAATTATCATGTGCTCGCTAATGACTAACTTCAAGAGAAAATTTCCGGAGTTATAGTAAAAAGCCAGAACTTGTAGAGGTACTTCTATCTGAAGTTTATGTTGATAATGTCGTTCAGAAGAACGATGAGAGCTCAACGACCAAACCATCCAGCTCAGAGAACAAAACTCCATCAAAATAGTAGAGGTACACCTTATGGGATGCGTAGCATTTACCCATAAAAAACAATGGGAGGCGGTTGAACAATATTATGAATTGATTGAACTTAGACATTAACACCATTTTATGCCAAGTCAGTTGTCCAGAGCCTAAGCGGTTACACACGAGATTAAAGGTCTTGTATTCGAGCCACGCACACAGGATCGTGGATGTGCACTGTTCTGAAATCTAATACTAGGACGAGACGCCGTTCACCGAGTTGAGGTTTTCAGAGGTGGTCTAACATTGATTGGTTCATGATTTCAGTGAAATTCAGCAATCTCCACAATTCTATACGAATGATATTGTATGCTGAATTGAAGAAATAATAAATCTAGTGATATCGTATACATACAGACTGAGACAAAGGAAAGAGCTTTTACCTGTTTAGAACATGATATTAAAAATGTATCAAACTTTCAGTTATGTATAATTTGTAACAATGTCTGTTTGAGAGTTTCATTAGTATGTTGATTGTTTTTATCGAGTCGAATGCAAATGTAAATTCTAGTTGTTTGCTGTATTCGCTATATCATTATGAGGTATGTTAGGATACAAGATCCATCAATTACTCAGTTATTATTATGTTATACAGCATTAGTTCTTCTAACATATTTCATGTGGTGAATTATATCATTTCATGAAGTTATAATTCTACGTTAAACGTTTAAATTAAATGACTTTACTATTAACCTTTTTAATTAAATAATGAAAAAAATTAGGGATGTACTACTATGAGTTTATTCTTATCTTATGATTTATAGTGCTTTTATAATTCCTACTTAACATATAACACAAATCCCAACCTTAAACAGATCCATTCAAACAATCGTACTGTTTAACATCTTGTGACTTTTAAAACTCAAAAAGTAATTTTTTCTAAATGAAACTCACGATTATACTAAAGTTTACACTTAATATTCAAAATACTTGAGTTGCATACCTATATACATTACGTTTCGCATTGATAATATCAGAAAATTTTGAAACTATTTTACATTGATTGAAATCATGAGTCAATTGTAGCTAGACCATCATGGAAAACCTAGAAGCACTGGACGGCCATTTCCTCCTAGTATGGGACTCCTCAGCAGTGCGCATCCAAGATCCCGCACCCCGCGAGATTTGAACCCAGGACCTATCAGTCTCGCGCCAGGCGCTTAACAAACTAGACCACTAAGGAGTCACATACTAGAACGAAACGGTCGTCCAGTGCTTCCAGATTTTCCATGGTGGTCTCGCTTCAATTGACTCATGATTTCAATCAGTGAAATTTCTAAACTCTCCACAAAACCCCTTCCGATATTTTACATTTTTCAGTCTATGAGTTGTCCCAATTTTTAATGAAACTAGGTATATGTATGTAAATTAACCAAATAATAAAGTCCTTGATTGTAAAGCTTGCTCAAAATGTTTATTATATCGGAAAAGCAATGTCACTGACTATTGCATGTTCATCAAAGAGAGACAAATTAATTCCTATAAACAAGTGTTTCTTCGAATTTTTATGTTAGTTCACCTCAGATACAGTCACAAATTAGTTACACAATCAATACATTGATTGTAATATACATGATACTGGACAGACCATCATGATAAATTAATTGTAGATTTGTAAACAAACGTAATGCTCAGCTAGTATTACCTGGAACTTCTTCTTAAGTCATAAAGTCATTGAAATGTTAAGTGACTGTCATCTAGAAATCCTCGATATATTATTATACTATGATCAAGACAAAGTGAAGTGATACCAAACATTATTCATCTAAATCTTGATCGCATCCATAAATGCGTAAAATCAGAAAATGTGTCTGTTTTTGTTGGAAAGAATAACAAACTAAATGTACAATACAAAGATATCAAGGATATTTTGAAAATTGAACATTTTCTTAAGTAAAGAATATTTTTAACCGCATTATTCAATTATTAATTTTATTTCCATAACTAAATACAATGAAAATTTTAAAGAGAGCAAGAACAAAGATTGGTGCAGAATAATATGAATACATTTTATTTCGTTAGGTTCTCATCAGCTGCTTACAACCTAAATTATTTAAAATTCAACATTAATACAGATATTGATATATTTATATATAAGAGTGTGATTAAGGATCAATACATGTGTATGATGATGTAGCGAATATTCAGATAGAGTTAATGAGCTCATAAAATGTTTAATTCGAATAAATAAATAAAGTTAGAGAGGGAAAGTTCCAGAACATTGAAATAGTGATTAGAACTCATGAAAATAGATTAATGGTAATAAAGAAAATATGAATTGAAATCAATCAGTTATGTATGATGTAATTTATATTTCAGAAAGAGTTGCAATAATGACGTAATAAATAAATAAATAGGAGCAAATTAATAGAAAGAGTGGGGGTTATTGTTACCAGGGTAAAGAAAGATTTATTACTGTCTCTTTTTGTATACATAGGTCTGGTTTTAAACGTTTGATTGCTAACGCTTCAGCGAATTTCAAAAGGTTCGAGTTTGATTGTTTGTTAATCACCTTGAAGGACTTCAGTATATCAGCTTTATGTCCTGTATCAAGGAGATGTCTGGCGATAGCACTGTTGAATGCGTTCAATCCATTTAACCTTAAACTTTTCGGAATATGTTCTTTGAATCGGACGTAGGCTCTCCTTTCTGTTCTACCAATGTAACTGCTTTGGCAGGTACATGTAAATTTGTATACGCAGTTGGTGGTAACATAAAAGGGATACCTATCGACCTTTGATTGTGTCAAAGAACATGTTGTTTTGGACAGGACAATCAATTTCGCTGCAGGATAAGTTCTTGTCAGTGCAGTTTTTAGTCTCATATTGATTGATCCTGTGACATCGTCACCTTTGAATTGAAGTTTGATAAAAATAGGCTTTTTATTTACTGTAATTTCTTTCGGCTTTTTAACTTCACATTTGCCGTATTTCTCAATAAATTTCAGTGGGTATCCGTTATTCTTTAAACATTTTTTAACATTCATAACTTCCTCTTCTAGTGTATCGGAAGTACATATTCTTTCTGTTCTGTAAAACAGTGTTTTGACCAGTGCCTTTTTGTATATATATCTAGTAGGTACTCAATCACTTTATGCTCCAAAGAATAAATGATGTTCGGTTAATTTAGAACCCAGTGATTAAATATTACTGTATACATCTAGTGAGTAATATATTGCCTTAGTTAGTTATTCATTCACGCAAAATAATCAAAATTTTTAAAACATTTTATTATGTTTACTGTGGAAAGTTATTAAACCATAGCATATTTGAATCTTTTATGATAAATATTTACTCTTTTTTCTTCTTCATGTGACAGGCTGAACTAGGTGAAATACACCGGGAAAATATTAAACTATCACAAGAAGTACAATCAACAGTTGATGTTGGTATTCAAACTTTAACATGTTCCTTAGAAGAAGAAGAAGAATTGATTCGTCAAAGAAACTGTACACATTTAACACAATCCAAAGAGATAACAACAAATTTATGCAGTTCCAGTGTTCAAACATATGATGAAAATTTAAAAAGTACATGTGATTTTCAAGTTCAAACAGACTTCAATCATAATTTCTCTTCGATAAAAATTGATCAACACTATAATAACAGAAGTTTACAACTTTTAAATGTTAGTTTAATTAAACTTGTTCATGCACTACGTGTGGAATTAGACTCAGCTCAAAATGAATTATATATGAGGAATGGGAAATAAGCTTAATATTCTTAAAATAATGAAGATTATCAAATATTTATTGACTTATTTAATTAAATAAATTAATTCATCAACTATGTAAAACATGTTTTTATACTATTATCAGAATAATAAATTATAAGCTTACAAAAAGAAGGTAAAATATATTACACATTTATGGATTTATCTGTTAGAGTTTGATTACTGACATTGTTCAAGAATCCCCCAAATGCCTTGGTACGGCCGAGAGTGGGGAGAGTCCGCTCTCCCTCTCGAAATGCTCTCACATGGCCACGCGTATATAGCCTCTGCCAGGGAAGTCCTACTCATCGCCTTCTCGTGGCGGGGTTGTTGTCTACAAAAATGTGAGGACGAAAAGCGAATGTCCGGCACTTTAACTGGATCCCAAACCAATGGTGCACATGGGCTCCAGTATCCTGCGGGAACAAGTGGCGTATGAACCAATCGTTGGTCACCAGCTACCATGGGACTGCATCTCCTTACGATGCTCCACTGCATTGTGGATCAGACCTTCAGATTGAAGGCTCCGGATGTAGCCTCCTAAGAAAACCACCTGCTTTGGTTTGGGCACCCGGGCAGTATTATAGCATTCACACATATCAAATGAGATTTGTGTGGCGCATATGTATTTGGTGCCTCCTTGTACCAATATCTTTGTGTTAAAATAAATAAATAAATAAATCAAGAATCCCTATCATAACGATACAGGAAGTGATTTTCATTCTACTTGATACTTATCGATTCTAGATAATTCCATTAATCTGTAGTGTCGGTTGCTGTGTTAAACCTATATAACTTATGCTAGCTTCTGAACAGGCCAATTTATTCATTCATCCTGAGTCACATGTTGACTTTGTCAATTATTCACTTATCAACCTTGACTGTTTTTATATAAGCATATGTGTGTACAATTCTTATTCTATTAATCACATGTCTGTAGCTTATTTTAATCTGGCTATATATATTAATTAACGCTTGATTAAATGGAGTTGGCTCGCCTTCCATCTCCACTGCGCGTCATTTTTCTTCGATCTTTTCTGTTCGTTTCATCTCTCCTTGATTATCTGTCCAGATCAGTGAGTGTACAAAATATATGTGCTCAGAAATCCATTCTTGTATTTAACTTATTTTAATTCCGTTATTCGCTAACGTGAGTTCAGTCGACAGATACATACAAGAATAGTCAGGATGTATATTTCAACAATCAATCATACGATTCAGTTGGAGTCAGATAAAGGGCCACTAAAAGTCAACATTTTCATAAATCATTTGACTCTCACCAGAAACTAGTTTCAGGTTTAATTTTCATTTTAAATACTATAAGAGAATAATTTACATTCAGCTACCTACATTTGAATGAACACAAAAATGTCGAATGGGACATAATATTAGGAGTGAATCCGTATTGTCTGACAGCAATAACAACTGATTAGAGTTCAGAAAATTACATAAGTAAGGAAAAATATCTGATTTCACTTAGCAATGAAATGGAAATACGTCATTTACATATTGTGAGCAACAGTTATGACTCAGAAACATCGATATCTGAAGATTAATTTGAGACTGTAATACAAATTGATGAAAAAGTTAATTGAACATTTCCTTATAGTTTCATTGTGTATATAGAGTTGTTTATAATAGTCCAATGATGTGAAGTAGATTAGAATTCAGCATTTTAAAAATTGGTATTTGAGCATATGGAATAGTTGATACTCACAGCAAACAAGATATTAATTTACAACTACGTTGTAAGTAACGAGTATTCAGTAATTCAACCACTTTCTTATGATTTCTCCTTTTTCTATGTTCAAACAATAAGTGTTTGAAACTTAAATTTAATGGTAGATGCCAGTGATAAGGAACAAGACAAATACACTGAAAATCGAAGTGGTGTAATTAATAAATGATTAACTGATTAAAGGTTATACTGTGGTGTATGCTACTTATGTGGACATAAGTAGTATAAAACGCTAGTTAGGAATAGAATGTTTGACAGCAGGAGGTTGAGAAGATCGAGTAGGAAAGAACGGGAACGGAAAGCAATTGGTATGGAAGTACAGGGACGATGACGTCTGAGACAATTAATGGACATTTTACAAATGAAGTATTGGAGTATAGTTTTGCTATTTTATTATTATTTTATAATCGGTTGTCCTCACCTGCGTTCTCCTTCACCACAACATAATCTGGAGTCATCACTGAAAGGGTACCAAGAAAACTACAAAAATGTGGAAATTCGGCTTTTTTGGATGAGAGTGAACAGAAGTTTCTCAGGAAGTGTAATGATTGTCCAATGAAATGTTTTCAAATACTAAAGATTCAGTGTAATCAATGTACGAAAAATATACTGTAGAAGTACATACTAGCTCATTATCTATAAGTTACTGAGTACGAAATCATACGATTGGAGTAAATGTTTTCTCATGCTTCCGAATTCATCAGTGTCCAAAATTTTAGCATTCAGTATCACAAGAATTTCAAAGCATTGAGAATTTATCAAATATTTGCTATTTACCAAAATATTAGGCGTAATGTCATAAACTACTTTTAAACATATAAGTAAAATGGAGTGTAAATATAAAAATAGATTTTTAGGTTATGTGGATTAACTAATTATAGAACAATTAAAATACAATTTTTATTTTGTTTGCAGCTAAACGAGGAATGCCTCTAAATCTCTTTTAGAACTCGCATTTACATATCAAACCCTCACTTTGTATAGAGTTTCCAAGTGATTACAGGGAGCTTATGTTACCCTATGTTGTCAGCTATCAAATAAACTCAAGATTAATAATTTTATAGAGTTTATCTTAATGCTGATGCAAATGGAAAGTTTATATACATTATTTATAACTTCCAGTGCCGTCCCAGTAGTATGTTGTAGGCATAATTAATCAGATTTGTCCAATACGTATCATGTTAGGGACATGTTTTGAACACAATTAACAATGAAATTCTCCATCTGGTGGCCCGCTTGAATATCTGGGCTAACTGTTCCTGTCATATAGATCATTCAACGAGTTATCTCTCTGCTTGTTTTAGTACATCATCATGTCTATCAATCGTCTAACCTATTCAGATGCGTTTATCAAAGATTTACAACATTTCGCCGTACAACATACAAAAAAGTACAATCAGAGACATCGTGGTGTCTGGCAATATGCATTGAAAAGAATGAACATCATTCAGATGTCGATTCCTGAACTGCTAACAGCCAACTGACGATGAATAATTTTTAGGGTGCATTGTCTCCGATTCATACTAAGTCTAGATATGTACCATAATTCTGGTATAACCATAATTCAATAATCCTGATCAAATGATTTATAAGACAACTGTTCATTATCACTGCGAGATTTCAATATTTGCCATCAGGATCGATCAAGCAATAAGAAAATGAAACTTCTTGAAATAATCTGTGCTGAGAATTCCGTATTGTGTCAAAAACATAATACTGAATAAAGGGATTAATAATGATGATTATATAGTCATAATAAACTAGGGACAAAGTGAATAAAACTGTGCTGTGATGTAAACTTTGATCAAATCATCAGTCAATCGGAAAAGTGTTTAGTTATCAATTAATGAATAATTAAAAAAAGTAGGTTTGGTAATCCGCTTCATCATAATTAGTGATCAAAAACGGTTAGGGTTGGGAATTCGAAGTCTAAGAATAGTCAGGAGTTATGGACAAGGAATGGATTAACGGTTTTTACCGCAAACGGAAACTATAGTTCCATCTTGTTACGGTTATTTATTGGGGTTATGGGGGCTAGGCTTACTAGTCATGGTTAAAGTGAGTGTGTACTTTTTAGCTTTAGAAGCATCCTTCACAATACCTTGAATCACATCAAGTACACCCAGTGTGTTACTGCATATTTGGGGTCAGCTATAGGGAATTATTAGCTCGGCTCTAATTAAGAAATGAGCTAACCTCCACTGCGTTCCCGATTTTACACAAAATGCAGTAATCACTTTTTTAACTGTGATGATTCGCAAAAGGGCGTTAGTGTAGTACCGTTTTACCTATTTGTTATTATACTCTAGCATTAATAATTTTCTCTACTTCAGTACAGATGTTGTATCGAACTGTTCGTTTTAAATAATTCCAAGATGTTGATCGATACATAGCATCAGCTATTGTATGAAATTGAAAAACCATTGTAACTGTAACTGAATAATCTTTTTATATGTAATGTTCTACAGAATCTTTATGAATAACAGAAAGAATTAACATTGTCAACCAAATATATTCAGTTTCCTTTTTTATTTGTATGTTTACATCTATCTCGAAGCCATAGTAACAATCAACTTATTTAGGTAGCATTAATAGCAAAAAGATACTGGAATATCATTATACATCGTTTTAACACAGATTTAAATAAATAAAATGCGGAAAGTTACTATTATGCAACGGTTGTGTCTAGACATTTCAATTGTTTGGACGAAATGAAACTGTAAATATTCTTTCTTGTTATGTTAAAGATTCAAAATATTATTCCTTGAAGCTGTAACAAGTTTGTATTGGGTTCAATAAAGTAAGAAAATAAAATGAGGAAACGGTAGATATAAGCCTTATCAAAAATATTCATCGTAGCTGAATTCAGGATTTTTCACCTTCATAACTATGTAAAACTAAAATATCAACTTATCATCTTGACAAACCTTAAAAATTAGTTGAATATTGGAACACCTTTTTTCACGAATGTTAACTTCGTAATTTTAAATATTATTTGATCATACCTAACATAATAGGATAGAAAAAAGTCCATTGCATTGTTTCAATGAGTGTAATTCAATAGACATAATTGTGAAAAAATAAATTGATGTGGACTGAAATAAATCTTCAAACTATTCGTCTCGTACTTACCTACTTTCACCTGTTACCCCTCGTGGAGCAAGGATCATCGACCAGGATTCTCCGACCAACAGCTTTTCCTTTCCAGTTCTTTGCATTCGTTATTCATTCTTTTGATGTTTTCTTTCAATCCCGATGCAAT